GGACAATCCAACTTTAAATCAAACTCCTACTTCTAACAGACTTCTAACAGAACTCAGTTCCTATCTCTAATAGATAAGTAAGAACATAACTCCTACTTCTAACAGACTTCTAATAGAACTCAGTTCCTATCTCTAATAGATAAGTAAGAACAAAACTAGATAAGTAAGAACAGAACTGGAATAAGTAAACTATTGGCGAGCTGGCAAGAAGAGCTGACGTGGCAAGATAAGCTGCTGTGTGGGCCCCCCCTCACTGCTGCTGCCGGTGGGGGTAATTCTTCCCACGAATGCATCCACAACATGTTGCGCGGTATCAAACCCCCATACTCTCCTCTACTATTTCTAAGGAGTGTAAATCAACTCCTATTAAAATACTAAAAACAAAGCTTATAATTTTCCAATGTGGGACAAGTTCAAAGCTGGGTTTTGTAAGAGAAAAACTAATTTTTCAATCAAGTGTGCAGGTGCAATTTCTCATGTAATTGACCAATCAAACCCATTGGATTTAATCTCTTATGAGATTAAAATCCAACAGTAACCTTGGGAGTTAGAAGATCCTTGTGGCTTCTTCCCTTGCTGTTGATTAACTGGCTTGCTGGTGGATGGTTGTTTCTCTCAAGGGAACGTGGACTGCGTGTCTCCCCCACTCAAGCTTCCGGTACGTGGGCTAGGAGGCTGGTGGTCTACTTCATCCGGCTTCTTTAGGTTTACAAGTTGCTCGGTCACTGCCATTGCTGTTGCTAGGTCCTTCACCCCTCTTCGTTGTAGCTCAAGCTCGGCCCATGGCTTGAGACCGTCCATGAAGTTGAACAAGAGGTCCTTATCAGACATGTCAGTGATCTCAAGTGTCAAGGCTGAGAATTCTTGAACATAATCATGCAATGAGTCATCTTGCTTCAAGTTCTTCATCTTCCTTCACCCAAGGTACTCAACGTTCTCAGGGTAGAATTGTCGCTTGATCTCTCTTCTGAAATCGACTCAGGTGTCGAGGGTACGTGTGCCCCGTTCCATGTCTTGACAACACCTACGCCACCATAACATTGCAATATCATTTGAACACAAGACGACTATGTGTACCTGAATTTGATCATCATGTATGCCAGTCACAGAGAAATATTGCTCAAGTTTTCACAAGAAGTTGTCTAGCTCCCGGGCATCCCGTACACCTGAGTAGGGCGTCGGTTGTCGTATCTTTATGTGTGTGGTTGGAGCAGATGAGGTACTAGTTGAATTGGCCATGGCCCTTTTTATGAGGGATATCTCACCCCTCATCTCATCCAATTGTGCTTGAAAGTTGTCCATCATGCCTTGGAGGTTGCTTTGGGAGGAGCTGGCTTGGGAACGTTGCAAGGTATCATGGATCTCTTTGAGGGCTCCATTGACATGGGTTTCCAACTCTACCACGGCGTGCTCAACAGTCTCCATGTTTAGTTGGAGTTCATTAACCCGATCTTGGGTCTCACCCACGGTTGCCTCACAACGCAAGACATGCATGTCCATGCTTGATAATTGATCAACGGACTTGTCCTGCTTGCCTGCTTTGGTTGTGTGGCCCTTTGGGGCTTGGCTTTTGGAAGGTTTGCCGGTTGGTGCCTTGTCAGTGTCATGGGCTTGAGACAGCCCATGTAGTATGTCATTGGCGGCGTCGCGGTTGCCTTTCATTGTTTGTGCTGGATGTGAGTCGATTGATAGGGTCCAATGTGTAGTGGAGCTCCTGCTCTGATACCAACTGTCACAGGGCTAGATGGTGAGGCCCTGTGCGGCACTTGTTGTGGGTCAAGTAAACCTATGAGATAAGCAACAACACAAAACAAGGAAACAAGATGGCACACGAATTAGTCAAAAGATGATTTGTATTGCATTAAACAGTGGCAAGCACAAGCACACAAGTTTGTATCGAGGAGACCTCGTGCTTAACCTTTACACGGTATTGGCACCACTCAACTACCTACCTCCCCTCAAAGAGTAGCTTAAGCTTTTGGTGCTCTGGAAGAAGGTTACATCAAAATATTGAACTATCATACTTGTATTTACAATTATGCCATTGGCATCCCCCCAATACAAAATACATAAGTAGCCCCACCCAAGACACACTTGATGGCACTCTAATGGCGAGACGTGGGCATGGCGAAGGCACTTGAAGGCGTGGTGAAGCAGTCACTTGTGACACGGTGGCAGGGGATTTGATCCCAAGTCTTCCAGGTCTCTACTCTAATGAGTCAAAGATCCTACCAATTGAGCCAACATTAGTTGGTTCCATTTAATCTACTAGTAAGTGTGCACTTGTTTTGTATGTGGTAATTTTAGGTGATGATAATGATAGTAATAATATATCCAAAATTTTCTATAAAATTTATGTATTTTTTGCTTTTTTGCTTTTTATCATTAATCAAACAAATATTGCAAAATCCAAATTTGATTACATAAACATCTCATCAAAATATGTGATAATCGGATCGAGTTGTGAAGTTTCAAGTATCATCAATAGGCCTACCTACTTGGCTAGACTCTTCTCTTTGTAATGTTTTATCTTTTTGGTGTATCTTTTTTCTTTTATTCATTTCTCAAAAAAATGTAAGATTTAAATAGAAAAATTGAATGAGGTGAAAAATAGTAGTTCAATTTACAATTTAAACCTTACAATTAAATAGGGAGTAAATTAAAAAATGAGTATTTTAGTCAAAAGAAAGTTCCACAATGTTATTCATATTTTTAATAGTAGTGTAAAAATAGAATTATAAATGTGTCCAGTTTTTTCTATATATATTTTTGTGTGTAAAAATAATTCTAATACTTTTTGTTTAATATCATAAATATATGATATTATACATGTGCTTGAATGTTTTTTTTTTTTTGCAAAATTTATGTATTTTTTCATTTTTATATTTTATTATTTATTTATGACATTAAAGGTTAACACATTTAACCCAAAAGTTAAACTATTTATTATTGATTTTTATATTCTATTTTTTGTTAGTTCTAAATTATGTATTTCATTTTCATTATCAATAAGAATAATTCTTGTTTATTACACTTATTTTTTTTAATTTGATTAATAAAATATCATAAATGTGTCTAAATTTTTTCTACGGTTTTGTAATTTTCTATATTATTTCTATTTTAAAAATTTTATTACCTAACTATGACTTCACAGGTTAATCAATTTGATCCGAATGGTTGAATTGTTTAACCACCACTTGGATAAAGAATGGTTTTGTTTTTGAGTCAATTTTAAAATATAGTTAAAAATATTGATATAGATCTAGTTAGTAGCATTTATTAGTGAAAAACAACTTAAATATAAGATTTAATAAGAGAAAATGATATTTAATATCATAAGTATAAGACTTAATGAGAGGGGATTAAATTGAAGTGGAAAGTAATAATTGAAGCTACATTTCCAACCCTAGCAATTAGAGATGGACTAAATATACAAATATGGGCATTTTAGTAGCCATTAAAGCTATAATAAAATGGCTTTTATACCCTTTCTCAAAGAAAGAAATAGAAGGTACTTTTAGTCCAAAAAAAGTTTCGCACTACATCCACACTTTTGTTATAGTATAGATATAGATTAATTGGGTCACAAGTTGTATGCTAAATGTACATCAAACTTCCAAAGTTCATAACTTTTCGCTATGGTTGTCCAATTAGCTGGTATTAATCAAAATTCATGGTGCTTTGATTGGTCTAAGCTCTTACAATACCATATCTTTCTGGTATCATAAATTTTTTCACACCCAGAGGCAATTAAGACATTGTTTATCTCATTCATGTAGCAAGGGCTCTATAAGTCTGGAAACAAAATTATAGACGGTAGGCTGCTTGCTTATCTTATTAGCGACAAAACCTTGGCACTTGAGGGTTGTTGGGGAGCTTCTTCCACATGATACGCCGACCCACTTAGTCCCATGCTTGTATTTCTAGCCAAAAGAATATTGAGAAAATTACTCTTTTACCCCAAATATATGGTAATGTGTCATGTCCACAAACGCTCCCAACAGCCAAAGTTTTCCCCTTTTTAGCAATCCCAGGCTGCAATCATTAGTGTGAAAATCTGATGTAAGTAATTACATAATACCCTAGTTGAAAAGTGGGATTTTCTCCTCACAGCATATTGCAGCTGTGTATTAGGAACATCTCTTCATGAATGACAACAAATTAATCCAATCCTCTTATCCTTCCAAGGTCCAGCTATTCAGTCCAACTAAGAAAAATGCCACCAAAACCCTTAGATGGTTATTAGATATTTGGTTACAGAAGAAAAATCAACTTTTACATACAACTTTCCATTTGATAAGATCGTCCCTTTTAGAATCTCCTGGCCCCCAAAGAAGTATCTTATAGTGCCCCCCCAATCTTTTTGCTTCTGCTACTATACTACTACTGGGATTCTAAAGATAGATCTTATAGATTGGTCTCTTTTCTTAATTTTTTTTATTGAAAGAAATCCACAGACAATGATAATGGATACATGATACATTCTTGTTATCTTGGAGGTTAAACAATTAAGCTATTACAGAAGTTTCATTGATTGCAGGCATAGGGATAGGGTATTGATTGAATGAGAGCATCTTTGGCAATCTGCACAGTGGTTGCTATGACTTGAACCACATTTTCACATTTGTCACTGTCAGCTTGAGATTTACTATTTTACAAGCAATGGCCGTAGGTGTGATTGAATGAAAGATTTTATTATACAATGTTTCCTCAACATAAGAACAAGAATAAAACACATAAAGCATTATCATCCTTAATCATTCCCTGCTCCTCACTCTAATTGGTTGTTTAGTGCTATTGTCTGCCAATTAGACAGTTGTCATTGATCTTCTTCATCATTGGTCTTTAGTCTCCCAGGTTTTGCTTGCCTTTTTTTGGGTTCCTTATTGTTAGGGTTTAGAAAATGGTTCTGAAGTTGATGTTTTTAATTTGAGATACATGGCATCATAACACATTCAACTTTTTAAGCATGTTATTGCAAGTTTTTTGTTGCATTACAGGAGTTGGGGGATAATATCCCTGACCATAGCCTACTTCTGGCAACTTTACACTCTGTGGATTCTAGTCCAGCTGCACGAGGCAGTTCCTGGGAAGAGATACAACAGATATGTAGAGCTTGCACAAGCAGCATTTGGTAAGAGCTAACAAGCAATTTTTTATTAGGAAGCTGAAGTACCTGTGTGATAGACTTAATGCAACAGTCAACATATAGAAAAATATGTTATACATGCAATGGATGGGACCTAACAGTCAATTGGTTTTGTTAATATGGAGGATAGAGTCGGGCAGAATTTCTTTTCCTCTTACATATGTTTACTCATTAGAAAAAAAGAGAGTTTCCCTTGTAGTTTCTGAATGGAATCTTGAAAAGTCAGTGGAATTTTAGTCAAAATTCTGGTTCCTACCTATGCTGAAATCTAGCACAATGAAATATTAAATCTTGGATTGAATCATCAAATAGTTGGAATATGGGCAACTGGCATGATATTCCTGGAATTTCCATTATTAGTGTCTGAGTGATCTCAACCAGCTGAATTTACTTATTTAATTAAACAAAGTTTAAAAAAAGTGTACCTCTAAGGTTCTTTTTTAAAGTTAATTTGTTAGATGGTTAAACAAAAAGGAACCTGATGTTGTTATAATAGGTGTCATGTACTCTTGTTAACTATTATCATTTTTTTCCGCTTCAGACTGTTCACAATTTTGAATTTTACACTTTTACCACAAATAATGGTCAGAGCAACCTTTTATTTTTGGTAATTCATTATTACAGGGCCATTTATACTCATGTCATTCTAATTAGAATTACAACTAATTTACATAGTGAAGAATTTTGATCTTTCCCTTAGATGTAGCATGATGTTTAATACTTGAACCACAGAGACTTGCTTCACTATTGTCTTCATTTTTTTTACTGTATCATAGATTGAGTTTCTACATCTCTCATCCTTCACTGTTTCCTGTTGTATGTGATATTGCATAATTTTTGTTTCTTTAAAAATACTTCTCCCTTAAGAAATGTGCTTTGAAAAGACCCTATCTTGCTGACCTGTGAAAGGCCTCAAGAGCATAAGAAATCTGGCCTGGTATGCCATTCCTTTGGCAATTACTTGGACTTTGTGGAAGGACTGCAATGCTAGGATCTTTGACAACAAAGTTACCCAAGAGGAGTTTCATAGGAGGATTCTGCTTTAGACTTTTACCTGGACCTTGGTGCTGAAACCTTTCTGGGATGTGCCCCACTCTTCCACCCTTTCTAGGGTATTCTTTTTGTTTAGGCATTTATCCTGTTTTTGGTTTAGCTGGAAATTTCTGTATACAATCTTGTGCTGGCTAATCTCTATTGTACTTGTACTCAGTTCTGTTTCTGATTAATAAAATACCTTTTTCCTTACTAAAGAAAATGAAACATCATTACAAGGCTGAAAACCTTCTGTATTTTTTCTGTTTTTTATTGTTTTTTCAACAGTTTATTATCAAATATGAGATTGTGTATTTGATGTGCCATCTCATTATGAATTTTATTGCAAAAGCATTAAAATGTTTAATGTTTAGAAAGTGGTAGTGTTATCATTGTAATGATGATATATTCAATATTAAATATCATTCACATTACAGTTAATAGATTGTAATCCATATCTCTAAAGCACTCCTATTACTGGTAATGACAGCAGTATCAAAACCTAGATGAATTAGTGTAATTTATTTTGCTTCTTACTATGCCACATTTCTCTCTGTCTTCTGCAGGGGAAAGGTTAGGTGTGTGGCTTGCTCTTTTTCCAACAGTTTACCTATCGGCAGGGACTGCAACAGCTTTGATTCTCACAGGAGGGGAGACCATGAAGCTATTCTTCCAGATAGTCTGTGGACCCCTCTGTTCATCAAATCCTTTAACAACCGTAGAGTGGTACCTGGTATTCACTTCTTTATGCATTGTTTTGTCTCAGCTTCCAAATCTCAACTCAATTGCTGGGCTTTCTCTCATAGGGGCTGTAACAGCCATCACTTACTCCACCATGGTGTGGGTCCTCTCTGTTAGTCAACCAAGGCCATCCTCAATCTCATATCAGCCCCTTGCATCTCCTTCATTTTCTGCCTCAGTCTTTTCAATCATGAATGCACTTGGAATCATAGCTTTTGCTTTCAGGGGTCACAATCTTGCATTGGAGATTCAGGTATTTGTTAGATGAACTGAACTGTTACCTACATTCTTGTGTCATATTAATTTTTCTTTCTAAATGCATTTTTTAGAAAAAAAAAGCTTCATAGAATTAACACAACTATCCATTCAGTTATCTTGACTTCAAGGAGTTTAATTGGATGTTTCAGGCGACAATGCCATCAACATTTAAACACCCAGCTCATGTGCCAATGTGGAGGGGAGCTAAGGTTGCCTATTTTTTCATTGCGATGTGCTTGTTTCCCGTTGCAATTGGAGGTTTTTGGGCATATGGGAACCTTGTAAGTACAATACTAACAATCTTTATTCTTACATTAACTTTGCTAACATAAACCACAAACTCTATCGCCTTTCCAACTCAAAACTTTGTTAGAATGCATGCAGACAGCCATGTCTGCTTATAGTGTAGCCAGCCTATGTGACTGTTCAGACAAACACGGTGGGGAGCCACAGCTTCATTGTGAGGGTGTTAAACAGGACAACCCAAATATATTGGGTATACTGTCATATAGCTTAGGAGAGACGCAAACATCGAGACCATTAATTATTAAGAAATAAAACAAGATATCTAAATAGACAGATATATATTAAATACTTTTTTTGCTAAAAAGATAATGTATTAGATAATTCATTTGTGAGTACAAATAAAGAGTGAAAGCTGTGCTTGTATACTGTTGGTAAGTTTTTTTTGGCAATTTAATATGACTTAAAAAAATCCCTTAGGATTTAGGAAGGCAGATATCCATGTCTTTTCATGTGCAAGTATTTACATGATGCACATACAAGTATTTTGATGCTGCTTATGGTTATGTCTGTGTGTCTGTGGTTGGTACTGAATTTCAATCCTCTGTCTGATTATTGTTATAGATGCCATCAGGAGGGATTCTGGGTGCCTTGTATGCATTTCATAATCATGACATTCCACGAGGACTTCTTGCAACAACTTTCCTCTTAGTTGTGTTCAATTGCCTGAGTAGCTTCCAGATATACTCCATGCCTGTTTTTGACAGTTTCGAAGCAGGGTACACAGGCCGTACCAACCGTCCTTGCTCAATTTGGGTGCGATCAGGTTTCCGAGTTTTCTATGGATTCATCTCTTTTTTCATTGGAGTGGCACTCCCTTTCCTTTCCAGCCTTGCTGGTCTGTTGGGAGGACTTACTCTCCCTGTCACCTTTGCTTACCCTTGCTTCATGTGGGTTCTCATAAAGAAACCCCAAAAGTTCAGCTTTAATTGGTACTTCAATTGGACACTTGGGTGGCTAGGAATTGCTTTCAGCTTAGCTTTAAGTATTGGGGGTGTTTGGAGTATCGTGAACAATGGGCTTAAGTTCAAGTTCTTTAAACCGAATTGAGGCATTGTAAACTTGTGATAGTGGTACCTAAGAAGTGAGCCTCAGTGTATGTAATTACAATCTTTTGTTTTTTCTATTACTGGTTTGATGAATGTGAAATTCAAATGAATCCAGTTCAGGGCTCATTAAATGCTTTTGTAATGTACTCTGCTAATGGTCTTTCTGGTAGTTTACAGCAGGCATGAAATTTGCTTTTGGATTTAGGCTGCATTTGGTTGCATGTAAAATGAAGGAAAATGATATTTAACAAGAACACCAATCATATTCTTAATTTCCCCGGTGCTTTAGGCAACTTCTGATTTGAAAATGACTTGGAGAAAACTAGCAGGAGTGCCATTTTCCTAAAGCTAGTACTCACTTTCTGAAATCTGATCATTTTCCATGGCTATCATTAGAAATCATTTGTTTTCCTTAATTTCCCCAAGCATCAAATGGAGTCTTAAAAGAAATTTAACAATATTTGGTGATGAATATGGATGAATTGGGGTCTCAGATTATCAAGTAAAATTTACCTTGCTAGCCTTTAAGGAATTATTTTAAGATTTCTGAGAAAGTGAGATATACTTTCTGGTTAAAGCAAGCCTCGTAATGACCACAAACTTGCTAAGGTGGGTGAGTGACCCCACTTGTGTGAACCTACAGTATGAACTTTGAAGGAAAAATGCAGTCTGAATGGTTTGTTTTACCTAGTTCTATTTAATTTGCATGTGAAAATACACGTCTATCTCGTCTCCATCCATGTTCAAGTTTTTCTTCTCCCTATTCTTTCAATTTGTAAAATAACTACTGAATCAAGGGGTGTAAACAAGTCCAACTGGAAAATAGGTGCAAGCTCCAGGCTTAAAGCTTTCAAAGAGAGAAACTCCACCTTGAATTCTGATTTCTGACCTATTTATTCAACAAACGTTTACTTAACCCAATGGAATTGTAGTGAACCTTAGCGGCTGAGCCAGGAGTGTATGTAAATGAGAGCTGAATCTTTCTTTTTATGCCATTCTGTCGACTAGTGCAAGCTTTGTAGACATTGTTAAAAGTGCGTAACGTGCATGTTGCAGGATGACCAGAAACATATATAGTCCTGTAAACATGCGTGCGTAAGCTTCTTGGGCTTGTTTTTCTTTTTATTCAATTAAAATCATGGCCCAAACACTGAGGACTGAGAACCAACAACACAATTCATCTTCTCTCTCTCTATCACTGTTTCCAAGCATAATTTATTGGGACCACATATTCCCATTAAGCAGAGATTCCCTTTACAAAAGGAAAAATCTTTCTGCAGTGGCTAGTTGTCAGCCCCGTCTATTATATTTTGGGTAGAACTAGTGAGTAGTGAAGCCGGTCTATGGATCAAAAACTGCTAGGAGAGAGCTTCAAAGTCTCACACAGACATAGAGGGGCAGGCCAGCCACGGGAATAATTCAAGGACAACAGTTCAGAGACAAGACCAGCTTTTGCTTTACCAAAGGCACAAGAAAGAGATCGAGATTTGAGGTTAAAGAAAAAAAAAAAAACATAGAGTTTGAAAAGCTGTAAGGTCATCCTAATGGAAAAAGTCTCTTTTTCATGCCTACATAAAATGCATCTCTGCATGACACAGCATCACATCAGCAGAGGATAATTAAGGGTGTGTTTGTTTTGATTGTGAATGAGGGAAAGTTCTTAAGGAATTTCACAACATATGTTCAGAATTTCCCCTCAACTTTCTGTTTCTCTCTTATTTCCTATCAAACCAAACATAGCCTAACCGTCCTTTTCTTAAGAGAGGTACCAAAGAGGATGTTTGAATTGCTCTCAAAGACAAAGATCTCAATAAGAAAAAAGAAATTACAGAGACCCAACATTAATTAATGGATCTACATTAGATGTCGGTTGCAGGTTTCATGGGTGACTTCCACGTCATAGAGCATTTTAGCTTGGTCCACGTCATAACATGATTAAGACATTAATCCTACCTTTATATATATTCTAATTCCGTTCAAGAGTAAGACTAATACCTTAACATAAAGAACCAACAGTCAATTCGAACTTTCAGATGAGGCACCATTTCTCACCTTTGGAGAAGGACTTTTGGATCTTCAAGTCAAGCCCATCACCTCTATAAATTGTTCAAACTCCATGGATTTTCAAACACACAGAGCAAGTATTGCTCTCAGTCTTCTGCCTGAGAGAACTTCAAAGATACCTTCTCTGTTTGTCATCTGTTTTCTTGGTTTGTCAGCTATGTTCACATGGGTTTATGATATATTCCATCTCTTGCACACTGGAGCAGCTTTCTGTCCCTGGGCTGGTGTGCAAGAGATGGAATGCATCATTAATGCGTGCCTTTCTTGCCAGTGAAGTGTGGAGTGTTATCATCCACTGTTGTTATGCATGAAAGCTGAGGTTCCCATGTCTCCAGGTGGGTATGTAGCTTGATTATACTTGGTTTTTCTCATTATTCCTGCTATAACAAACAGATTGCTGTATCCCCAAGCTGGATTGAGCATAATATTGTGCTATTCACTGTGACAATCAGGTCAATGATCCTTGCTTCTTCCTACAGGAGAGGCTCTACTTCAGAGGGTAGATCATAAACTCCCCATGATTTTCGATTGTGGGGTGGCAAAGGAATCAAATTTCATTGTTGAAATGGGATATTTGTGTAAGAAAAATTGGTGTAAGCTCTTGGGAAGATCATGGTTCTTGTATCTCGAAAAAAGAAATTCTCTTTGACAAATTTGAGTCTTTTCAGGATTTGATTCCTCATTATATTTTTCTTGATTATCAGTGGATTTGTATTTTCTATATATATTTGCAGGTTAATTCTTTCATGACGGATTTAATTGGTCTGAATGTAAGACCAGCTCGCTTACATATAAAAAACCCGAGAGTTTTAATAGGTCTGAATGCACTGGTGGACGTTAACAGTGCATTGAATCAATCATGGGTCACTTTTATTTGGAGACTTGCCTTTACTGTTTTCTTTGACTTCCTAGGCGCTTCAATGAATCACATAGGCTCTCTGTTATGCTTGGAAGGTATCAGTACAATTATTGATCAGAGGAACGAGCACACTGCAGCAATCGCGGCATCAATAGTGTTTTCAATCCTTGGTTGAATCAGCCAGTTAGACTGATTTTTGTTTGTTTGTTTTGTATCAGTGCAATTATTCATCACTAAGTTAGGGTTCGGGGTGGGTTTGTTTGTTTTGTATTTTTAGCCATTTCTGTCACCAATACAAATAATTTATATTTATCATACTCATTTTTTGTTTAATATGAAGATTATATTTATATATTATATAATTTTCATAAAAAATATGAAAATTATATATTAATACAGATGCATAATTTTTTTATATTTATTTATTATTTAATTAAAATGTCATAAATTGACCATTTGACCTAAATGATTGAACCACTGACCCGTCAACCACACAAAGCAAATTAAGGCACAACTCAGACTATGTTAGGTTGGGTTTTGGTCAACCCAAGCCCAACTTGAGGTTTTGAACCCCCCCAACCAACCTAGTCAGCCCCAACCCTAACCTAAACAAATATAAAATCCCTTGACCCAATCCCAGCCTGACCCAACTTTAGGTTGGATTGGGCGTTGGGCCCAACCTAGCCCAAGTTGCAGCCCTACAGTACAAGGCCTAAACCGATGGATTCGGGGTAAACTGCTTAAATAGTAAGCATTCAAAGGAAAGAAATATTGTATTGATTAGAATTGAAAGGTTGGATCACATTATTGCCCAGCTTAAACACATTATGGAATGGATACTGGATTCAATCTTCGCAAAACGGTGCTCACAGCCTTTTACAAATATGCATCGGGAACATTTTCATATTTGTATATTTTATTCACAGAGAGATATTTTCAATACACAGCTGCAAGTGGCTGTGAGCATAATGTGAAGAAAAATTTGTGAGGAATGGATCCAATTTCAAGGGGATGACGTTGTTGTCAACCACTCAACCCAAGTAGTAGCATAGGATCAATCAAATGCTCGTTAGAATAGAAAGACAAGGCTTCCTAATTTCCAATGTCGATCTGAATGGGCTTCCCAACTGATTTGGGCTTGGTAACACTAAATTGTTCCTTAATACTCTCATTAAAGGTACCCAATCAAGCTGATCTCCTGCCTCCAGTATACGGTTTACACTGAATCCTTGATCAAAATGATGATCTCGGGTTGGTTGAAATAGCATAATCTAACTAGTATTAATACTTATCAGGGCTGTAAAAAATTAAAGGAAAACCTCTCTGTTTGCTGTCCATTTTCATTTTTAAAATGATAAATTTTCCTTCAAATTTTGATAGCTTATTTTCCTAGCTTCCGAAATTAGTCTATTTTGGCAATGTATGACTTTGAAATTAAGGCCCCGCTTGCTTTTCAGTAAGTTATTTATCTGGATAAATACAATTATTTGGGTAAGTTTTTCTTAGGAAACACTTACCCAGGTAAGTGTATTTAATTAGGTTCTTTTATTTCCCAAGTAAATAAGTCAATGACCATTTGAACCATAAAAATCCATTATTAAAAAATGACATTTTTGTCCCATTCAAGTGTTGGAAATTTCCCCCTAGGTGGGAAAGTTATTTATCCACATAAGACATTTTTGTCCCATTCTAATGTTGGAAACTTCCCCCTAAATGGGAAAATTAATTATCCACGTAGAAGATAGGTATCACTTATCCGGATAAATGATATCCAGAAAAATGAATTTTCACTGATCCCCACATTAAATAAAAAAAAAGAACATGAAATTTTTTATTAATAAGAATCAAATCTCATTCACCAAGTTTCTCCCCTCTCAAAATCTAAAAAAAGAACATCTCCTAAAAAAATTAAAATAAAAATCATAGAAGGGGTTTGTACAATGGAAAGCATGTGCAAACTGCTAAGATAGAGGAAAATTTTGCACTATTATTCGTCATGTACTAATTAAATATTTGAGTTGAAGGTGGTACATATATTAAAAATAAGCAAAGAAAAAGAAGACAAGACAGATCGACAGGCACTCATTTCTCAATTGATGATCCATCCCCATGGACAATGATCGAGGCAATATCGAAGCCCATTGGAACTACCTGCACTGCATTCATGGATGGGTCTTTAGCAGAAAGAAGCATGCAATCATACCACGTGTGCTTTTGTCTGTCTCTCTAATTCATTTATTATTCAACTGGTTTTTCTAAAGAAAAAAAGTAAAAGCAGTTGAGAGTGTCAGAGGGCATTTGCCGCCGTTTAATGTTGTCCCAAACCCAAAGCTCTCTCTCTCTCGCTCTTGGTCTCGGTCCTTTCCTTGGATAAGCAAACCGGTGTACTGGTAGAGTTGCTAAGGCTTCTTCTCTATGTGTGTAGTTCTAATGTGTCTACGATTGATTATTAGTTGGCCACAAGCCTCCCTCCCATGAAAGATTGAATTAAGTGGTATCCGCTAGGCCTTATTCTTTGTAATTTTGTACTAAAATGTATTTAATTTAGGGTGCAAAGCTCGAGCTAAGGCCTAAAGGTGCTAACCTATTTTAGCACGAGCTCTTTAGTCTTTACAACATTACTGTTGGGTTTGCATTTTAATTTCAAAACAAGGGGTGCATGTGCAACCCATGAGCCCTGACTGCTGGGATTTCTTCAAACTCTTCCATATTCACCTTTCAATTAACATTTATTCATTTGGGTTTGGACTTGGGTGGCGTTTATGCTTGGTCTATGTTTGTTCAGAATTGGGAGATTTGGGTTGGCCATGGCTCCTCGAAGCTTGACCCATTCCAGCTATAATATATATCCAACGTATTTAATTATCTATATATGGACGGCCTGATCCCAACTCCCAGCAGCAAGCCCAGTCAAAGTCAAGTCTGGGCTTAAATTGGTGATGAGGCCTGGCCCTGGGCGTATCCAATTCGACCCAGATTGAACACCCAATCCCATCCGGTTGGGAATGGATTTTGTGGACCTAGTCCAATATAACACCCAGCCTATCGGCGGCCTGTATCGAAATCCATTTTCTTCTTCTTCTTTTTTTCTTTTTCTTTGAAATCGGTTTTGAGGGATCAATTTAAGGTTGATCTATCCCCTAAACCGGGTCAAACTCCAATATAACCCCTGTAGAAGAATACCATTAAGCCACTAATACAATATGATATCATATCAAAATTTTGAACCTTGTTAACAGCCTAACAGACTCGGCCTGAAGAGTGATGAATGAAGCATGGCGCCTGAAATTCAAAATCGTTGCCTCCATCCCTGTGTCCTGAGTCCTGAGCCTGGGACTCAAAAGTGAAAAGCAAGTTATTGATGATACACGGACACCCCACCTCCACCTCCCACCCCTATCCAGGCATCCAGGCCAGCGGCCACAGCTCACAACCGCACGCAGACCGCAGTGTAGGTAGAATCGTGATAAGCAAAAGCAACAGACATATATTTATGAATTATGTGGGAGTGAGTAACAAAAGGTCACAAAGCACTTGTTCAGTATTGTATTCCATGTCTGTGGGGGCCACAATCCAGCCTATACTCCACCGAGTCTTTAACGTCTAACTCCACCGGCCACCCCCCCATATGCTTTTTAAAACGGCCGCTTGGCCCTACCGTAACCGAACTTGGGCCCCTCCCCTCCTGCAACCTCAACCTCGTACCCTAACTCTCTATAACTGACGCTTCCTCCCTTTTATTTCTTATGGGTCCCATAACCATCACTCATGACTCACCCCACCCCACTCCACTGCTTCCCTTCATTCTTAAAATTACTCTCTCCCTCCCTGTATCGGACGATCAACGTGGGACGGCCTGACAGGGCATACTTACATGTGCTGTTTAAGGTTGCTTTCAGGGAATTCAAAGCTCTCTTAAATTGACTTAAAGCAGTAAATCAATGAGATGAATGAAGGACCAATCTGAACAACTGACCTTGCTATTTTTATTTTGTTTCTTTGTTTGGTGCAAAACGGGACTACCCCGAGTATGTAATGTAATGCGAATTTCTAGTCAATGCTTCATCTCTCTCTCTCTCTCTCTCTCTTCATATGTAGCGACAATAGCATCATTAGTGGGTGCATGTGTAGCAAGTGATGATGATGATCATTCATCACCCTTCATCCACAAGGGACCCATTTGTTTGATAATTGATAGTATTGGTCACGTCAAGTCGTTGTCGTAATTTCATCAAATTTGAATCCATCTTCTTCCCCCAATTTGGAAACTCAGCCCGGCCGGTGTCACCTAATAATATTCATCTCAACCCAACCCCCTATGCCCTATTTCAGTGAAAATGGAAAAACCCAATTCAACATCCCTACCCAACCCCCAACAAACTCCCCTTCTTGTGGTGGTGGTGACCTGCTGCATATAAGGGTCACAGTGCAATAATTAGCTCACAGGCCGGTCTGGTGTGGGCGTCTTTAGATGTTCCGGCAATTAGCTGACAGAGCAATTAAGATTAACCCAATTACCCAAGTCTAAACTTACAATATAATTCAATTTGATGAAAGACGGTTATGGGTTCCGTTTATGCCAACGAAGTTACATCAAAGGGTCTGTCTACACCAGATGTACTACTGATGGCGAGTTTAATTGCGCAGTGGACGATCGATTAATGGTGGGGAAAGCACAACAATAAACATTAAAGGATTACGTAAAAATGGATCTGCATTGAATATCGAGTCCAGTCTTAACGTGGATGGCCCGACTTGTAGGAGAGTGGAGACTCAACTCATTGGAACCACCCATTGGCAGGCAAAGACCCCCAAAATAGGCCACTTTTAAAACTTGAAATTTCAACCTGTAGAGAAATTATTGTAGAACAGGTAGGTGGCTAAAGCAAGGATGCATTCTCCTGAAAATTGGAGATATATCTAGGACGGGACCTCCTCTATCAGGCCAAATGGTCCGATATTCTTGTTAGCAACAAGCAGAAGCGCACAAAACACCCCTTTCAGACGAGACGATCATGTAGTCAGATACGGCCGTGTATGTAACTATGCATATGGGTGATAAACGCCACTCTAAATTGGTCCCACTTGGGTCGTTTGTCTTCCGGTTCCAGCCTAAATACATGAAAAGATTAGTCGGAATTAAGTTTTATAAAAAATAAAATCTATAACCATCCCGTTAAAGATTGTTCCAAAAGAGTTTTGAAGCTTCTTCTTTGGAAGAAGAATATGTATTAAACTATTAATAATGATCTGTCTGAGATTTATTTCTTTGGTGGGTCCCATCTCCTGTAAGGTTTAAAGTTCTGCCCTAAGCCTCTAACCAACCCATGTGATCATATCCAAAACTATCAATGTAACCGGTTAGCTGAGCTTAGCTTGGTTTACTCTCTCGCCCATCCCTGCTCAGGCCCAGGGCCCCAGCCCCATGCGACCGAGCAACAAAGCAACAATGCTCATGCTCTAATCTCATCAGTCCCCCCCTGGCTGGGGGCTGGCTGTGCCTTCTGCCAAAAACGTCGAGTCGGATGGAAGGACATAGTAGGAAGGGAGCACGTGTACCGTGACAACAAATGCAACTAATGCACCAGAACCCAAAACGATCTAGACAAAGACATCAAAGGCGGGAGAGAAGCAGCACCAGCAGTCAGCAGATTAGAGTGCACGCTGCATGATCAACCGTACATACATTTCCATCTCTCTCTCTCTCTCTACAGGAGTGACCATTTCTCATTTTGGACCTTTTCAATTCATGTACATTTCCCTACTCTGTTGGATTTATATACATGCATCTTTTTGAAACATTAGTTGATTTGTAATCAAAATTAGACAAAGTTAACAAGATTAAAATTGGGAATTGAATGAAGCCTCAATAGAGATGAGAGAGAGAGAGAGAATGAACTTCATCAGGAACTCCAAATTGGCAATAAGAGTACGTAAAAAAAAAACCTAAAAACAAGCTCCTCTTCTCATCTTCTTTCATCAATGTGTTCAATGCAGACCACACAAGCATTTACAGAACTTTCATAGAAAAAGGAGAAGAACAAACAGAAGAGGGAAAAAAAGGAAAAAATAAATCATGATCCTAATACGTACACTTATTTCTGATTCCTCTGTCTACAATCCATATCTTGTAGCCTATACTCGATCTATACCCACCAAGCAAAGACCCAAAAAAAGAAAATAACACCTCAAGTCAAAACCAAAGAAGAAGAGTAATCACTTCAGGCCTTTTCCTGGCATAGAAATGGCGAGGTCTGGCCAAGTAAAGCAATCTCCTTCAACGATGCCGCTTTCACCGGTTGCAACCGGCCAGTTGGTAAGACCACCACCACCACCGCCAGCGCTAGCGCCACAACCAATATCGACAGCCTCCAACAAGGGCCAGGTGCCTCGGCCGAGCCCAAAACCCAGGTCCTCGAAACCAGAGCTGAGGCCGAACCCGAACCCACCAAGTGCCAAGAATCCTGGGCCCTGCGTGTTCAACAACGAAGTAAAGCTCCCCGAGACGTTAACGTCGAGATTAAGATCACCGCGCGTAGGCAAGGAAAAGTCGGGATCAGGGGCGAGGGAGACGGAAGCTGGAGTGGCAGGAATGGGGTCCTGGGAAGAGGAAGAGGAGGAGATGGTGCGAGAGCGTTTGGCATTCTTGCGGCTGCCACCACCGATGGGGATGTTACGAAGGGTGCCGCCCTGGGTCCAGTATCGACGGCAGGATTTGCAGAAGTGACGGGGCTGCGACAGGTTGTAGTTGTTGTAGTAGCAGAACTTTGTGTTAGTGGAGTCGCAGCGTGGGCAGGGGAGATGCTCCTGCTCAGGCGGGGGAGCTGGAGCGCCCATGTGTTGTGCTTTTGCCAGTCGTCGATCAGCGGATTCAGACGGCATTTCTTTTGCTTCCTCTGTTTGTCGAAGGGACCGTGCCTGTGTGATGGAGAGAGAATGTGAGATGGGGTGTAGCTCTCTTTGTATGTATATGTGCTGGGCCTGCTGGCTCGAGCTAGAGAAGCTAGATAGAGAAGAGAAAGAGAGCGAGGTTGGAACTTGGAGCTCGGAACTCGGAAGGGGTTTGGGAAGTTGAGACGAGTGGGGCTTTTATGTATGTGTGTGGAGAGAGAGAGAGAGAGAGAGAGGAGAAATTCTGTTGGTGAACATTTTCTGATTTTCTGATACATGATATATAGGAGGAAACGTACGCATTGGGGGACTCGAAACTGAGAACAGCTTTACAGCCGTGGGTTCTGCCTGTGTGACATATGACCTTTAACGGGCATTTATTCGCTGGATTGATCTTACTCGGCTAGGCTCGACTTCTCCTGGATCGGATCTCTCCGAATCCGATTATAACAGGGACACAAAAGGGAAAAAAACGGGTGTAAATGAGAAGGAAAATTTTAGCAAGCATTTGATTTGATAATTATGAAGAGGTTAAATTGAATGAGCTATTATTGCTTTGCATTTTAGTGCATGAGAATTAATCAAATAATAAAACATTTTAGAGTATGATAATCAATCCAACTGCTTCAACTTAGGCGATAAGGATCGCAATGCATTAAATCATAAGGTAGATCCAAATTTGATTTATTCATTTTTAGATTCATATGAGCTTTTAATATTATTAATAAAATGAACTATAATACATGAACAAAATATATTGAAAAAGCTTTGCTTCCTGAAACCTGAACCAATGATTCTTCAATGAAAACATAAATTCAAACCATTATTATCGATTGAATGGTATCATGTCTTTCTGGTATCATAGTTAAACTTTAAAAAAAAATTAAAGCTCTTTCATTATCATAGATTTATCCTTAATTGAATATAGAGAAAAACATAAATTCAGGAGTTCTTAAAACACCATTTAAATTTATTATACCTATTTGAAATTGAGGTAGCACCAGTGAAATTCTTAACACCCATTTCTACTATAAACAATCACGTAGCAGACACCACGCAAACTATTTAAAGCCCAATAAAATATTTGAGAGTAAACAATGATGTTAAAAACATGGCGTCTCTCATTCTCCCACGCACCACCTTTACACTCTAGTCTGCATTTTTTAGACTTAAATTGTTGGTCATATTTTTTTTCCATTTTTGAGTCGAATCCAGGGAAAAAATTATGATGCAGAAAATATATGATATGGAAAAAGTTTTGATCAATCAAAACTCATCCATGAATTTTGATAAATAACATTTTATTTGCAATCACGTTTATAATTTCAGTTTATTGATCAGTTGTTTTGTCTGTATCATATTTTTTTCATATCATATTTGAATCCTATAACAAATACTAACATGCTTACACGATGTATCACTTTAAAATTAAAATGCTTTTTGTGGGTTTGATTAAATTTTCCCAGCATAAAAAAAAACAAAAAAAAAACGTGTTAAAAGGTTTCGTGAATCATGTGGATGATCAGGGAAGCGTATAAATACAAATATATATTGTGAGAATACAATAATATTTAAAGATACTTTATACAAGGTTTTGCATTGAACATATTTGTATTTACACTATTTTCAAATTGAGGTTTATAACTAGAATGTTTTAACATGCAAAACAGGATTCATATAGCCAGGGATGTCAATGGGTTGGATTAGTAGTAAACCTACACTTACCTGACCCTATTGGGTTAGGGTTGGTCAATGTTAATTGGGTTTCAAGTCAAGCTTGGATTGGGGTGGGTGGGGTTGTCAATGAACTTGTTCTGGATTGGACCCCATCCAAACCAAAATCAATTTGAATGGATTGGACGAACCAACAAGACATATTGAATTGGACAAGTCCAGATTTAATGGTCCAACAAGGTATTTATAGGATTGGATTGGACTTGGTCCGTCCATGCTGAATTTATATTGGAATGGGTTGGATTGAGCTAATATCTTGTCCATTGATAGAAGATAAGAACATAGGTGTCAATAGACTTGTTCATGGGCCGGGTAGCCCAACGGGCCGGCCCAGTCCGACCCAACCCCCAGACGGGCTTGCACATGGATTTTAGCCTGCGGGCTTGACCTCGGGCCTAAAAGTCCGGTTCGGCCCAACATTTTGTAGTTTCTTCTAAAACCTAAATTCCTAGCCGACTAACCCTTTCCCATTCCCTCTTTTCATCTTCTATCTTCTCTCCTCACTCTCACTCTCAAGAATTGGCATGAACCTAGGTAGGCAGCCATTGTTCTCAGTCTTAGAGGCGAGCTTAGGCATCGGTCATCTCTCTCTCTCTCTCTCTCTCTCTCTCGCCACCAGTCCTCTCTCTCACAGTTCTCATTCTCACTCACACTGTCGCACATTCTCAGGAACCGGCAAGCTCAAGCATTGATGAACTCAGGCACCGGCGCCAGCTGCGCCACCAGTGAACTCAGTCATCTCTCTCTCCGACAGTGAGTCCAACATTTCTCAACTTTGTACAAGTCATGCATTTCAACCTCTGTTACTCTGTGGTTTGTAGTATGTACAAGTTGTTAAGTCGGGCTTTGCGCTCGGGCCCAAGTTGTAGGCCCGTTGGTCGAGTCGGGCTCGGGCTCGAGTCTAAAAAAATTCTGTTGATGAAGAGCAAAAGCTTGGCCCATGAACAGGTCTAGGTGTCAATGGACCGGATTTGAGTTAGAATTAATCTAAATTAAAATAAATTTGAACATATTAGACAATCCAAACATTGAATTGGACCGGTTCAAAATATTCATTGGATTGGATTAGACCTGGTCCATTTGTAATGGACTCACATTGGACTGGATTGGGCCAAATCCAGTCCAATTGACACCCCTAAGGGTGCACCGTCATTAAACCTGACTGATTGACATTACAATATTAAAATATTTGTAAATATAAACTTGGTTGAGTATATTTGTATTGTAATATAAATAGGATGGAGTGGGTTGGATTTGATATCTTAAGGGTTTGTTTGGTTCACAGTCATAATTGGAATAGTCCATTCCCATAGTCTGTTTGGTTCAGTAGGAATGGGACTTCATTTCCAAGGGAATGGTAGAAAATAGCCATTTCCTTAAATGGGAGAATGTCATTCCAGTAAGAATGGGAATGGAATTCCAATTCTACCCAATCAAATAGTTGAAATCAAAATAGCCCATTCTAATTCTGATTCCAGACCCTTATTCCCATGAACCAAATGGGGCCTAAGTTAGGTCAATCAGGATTTGGTTGAGATGAATTTGTTCCGGGTCCAATTCATTCACATCCCTATGATATAGCAGATCCCATGATATTTTTTTTAATGTTCACACCAATCTTTCTCTCTCTGCCCAAAAAGAATATATGTTTTATAACTAAAAAATGTATGTACCCTCTACGTTCAAAAGCTATCTATTTTTTGTTTGATAATTTTTCAAAGAGATTACATTTTATAATATAAAAGGTAAATTACAAAGACCCTGCGATAATCCCCTCTACCTCAGATTCCTTCACATTTCTCTCTCCCTCTCTCTCCTCTCTCTCTCTCTCCCCCGATCTCTCTTCTTCCCCTTCTCCATCATCTACCACCACAGCAATGTCACCATTCTACATGTCATTTGCATCAACAATATCCAAGTCCTCACCCCAATCACCATTAGTAGCCTCTTCATCATCTTCCTCTGCACCCCTCCCTGCATTATCCAGCCCACCCTCAAAGATACCTTTCTTAACCCTCAATAAGGGCCAATCTCCTCCACAGAGAATAGGTGATGGAGGCATCAGAAGCGATAGCACTCTCCCCTTTGGCAAGGTTGGAACATTATCTCCCAATTCAGCTGCAAGACATTCAACAACATCCTGGAGACCATGGACAGCAGCAGTAACATATGCAAGGGGCAAATGGCCATCATTCTCCAAAATCTTGACACGCTCCTTGACATCACCCAAGTACAAGGCATTATGAATTTGGCCCCTCACATCATTTACGTTTTCCTTTTCCGACTTGTTGTTTCTTTATATTACCTTTTTTCACCTCCATCTCTCTCTGTCTCTAGTTGAAGTCTTGAAGACATAATCAAAAGGGTACCGGTAAACCCACTTTCTTACATTTCTTACACTGTGTTCTAGAATGTTGAAGGCGAATCTGGATTGTGCTATTGTTTTGATTTCAGTTTTTAGGTGTTTTTGGGCAATTTAGTTTTGAAAAGCTATTCTACACTGAGTTCCTGAATCTCTAGTGGAATGTTTGAAGTTTGAAGGAGAAATTTGATAATTTGATATGTAAACTTTCGATTGAGTTATGCCTTTTTGAAAAGCTATTCTACACTGAGTTCCTGAATCTCTAGTGGAATGTTTGAAGTTTGAAGGAGAAATTTGATAATTTGATATGTAAACTTTCGATTGAGTTATGCCTTTACTTGCTTTCTTGCAGGATTCGTGAGAATTTTGGATGAGCAGGAAGCCAACTGGTAATGACTTTTTTTGCTTTAGTGTGCTTGATCTTTGTTGTTGGTGTTTCTTTAATGGATAATATTCATTTTGTTTATTTGTTCTATTTTATTTCTGAATGGGAATGCCAAACTAGTTAGTTGGATGGCAAAAGGGCAAAAAAAAAAAAAGGTTAAATAGGTTTTAAGAGAAAAAAGGCAAAAAAAAAATAGAAAAAATTTAGTGAAATATTTTGGTAATTTAACGCATTCTATCATCTGACTTAACGGTCAATGAGGTCTTTGTCTCACCGTCATAGTACAGATGGGGTCTTTGTTGCAAAACAAAATACAGGGGTGTCTTTATCATAGACCCATAATACAGGAGGGTCTTTATAATTTTACCCTAATATAAATAAGCAATCGCATTGATCGGTCAGCCATTGGAATGTCAAAATTCTGAACATCGAATTGGATAGCAGCATATGTAGTTGCAATGATCTATTGATCAGGACCGTCCATTTAATATACTAGCTGCTAGCTTTCATCGATTATCGTCGTGTTCATTCAGCTTGTCAGTTCAAATGGCCGTGCAGGTTGGTGGCACTTTGATCATATTCGTTGATAGACTTTCTTCAAACATTCAAAAGACATATAAAACTTTGACTTTGAAACTAGTTCAAGAGTAAAGACATTAAGACATTGTAAATGAAAGGAAAGAGTGCTTTAGTTGAATTTCTATTTTAATTATTGTAACATTAATCTATATTATTATATAAAACAGATTTTTGCTTTGATTTTGGTGTA